ATATATGTAATAAAAAAAAAAAAAAAAAAAAAGAAAAAATTATATTTAGATAAAATTTTTATAAACTATTATCTATTCTATTTCCTTTATTTCATGAGGTACTTTCCAGTAAATTATACCTGTACAGTTTAAATTATTTTCAATTAATCAACAGAAAATTAAAATTAATTTGAAATTTTAACAGTTTTTATTTTATTATTTTAGTGTATTATTAATTTTTTTTTTTTTTTATTTACTTTCATCTTTTGATACTGAAACTATGTATTGGTTATCAAATGTAAATAAGCATTTGTTTATAACATCATTATGAGCTGTTCCTAAAAAATAATAAAATAAAAAAAATACAAAAAAAAATACAAAAAGTATATATATATATATATATTATAAAATAATAATTAAAATTATCTTATTTTTCTTTTTTTTATTTTAAAGAATACCTATATATAAGCAAGTGCAACTTTTGAATTCATATAATCTTAATTTAAAATCATCAGAACCTAAAAAAAAAAAAAAAAAAAAAAAAAAATTTTCTTTTAATATACTATTTTTTAAAATTAAAAAAAAAAACAAATTTAATACCAGTTATAAAATATTTTCCTCTATTATCAATGTCAACAGAAAGGATATTGTGAAATGGAGAATAATAAAAATATTTAGCAATATCATTTTTAATCAAATCATAATACATAAATATATTATTATTACCACAACATAATAAAATATCATATTTTTCATTTAAAGAAATTTGTTTATATCTTGTGTTATTTATATCAATAATCTTTTTAACTAATTTGTTTTCTTCAATATTATATATTGTTATCAAACCATCTTCACTACAACTACATAACTATATACATAACAAAGAAAAATATATACGTATATATATATATATATGAATATTTATTCATTTTAATAAAAAAGACAATTAAAAATAATATTTAAAATGTTCATCTTTCAAAAAAAATAAAACAAATACATTTTTTATAAAATTTGTAAAAATATAATTATTTCTTTATATTATATTTTCAAATTTTTAATTTTTTTTTTTTTAGTTACATATTTATTGTTGTACAAAATAATTTTATTAATTATAGATGAATGATAATTAATAACATTAATATTAATGTATTTTTTATTTTCAAATTTCCAAAATTTTATATCTCCATTGTTTCCAGCAGTTATTAAATCATAGTCATTATAAAAGCATAAAATATTACAAAAATCATAATGAGAATTTAAAATTACACATATTATTTTCATATATTTAGATGTTAATAAGTAAATATTATTATGTATAGATAAGGCAACATATTTACCATCTTTTGTTATATTTATACTATGACAAATTAAATTTTTATTTATTTTATCATATTTTTCCAAGTTATCTTTTCTGTATTCATTTGTGTTGCTAATACTTTCATTAACTAACTTATTTATTCTGCATAATTTTTTTCTTTTTTCTATAGGTATATCTAAAAACTTTTTATCATAGTATATGAATTTCCCTTTATCTATATTTTTTAAATATATAACTTTTTTATCATAAAATTGCCATGCCATTATACTATTATAACTACATGTATACATAATGTAGTTATAATTAAAAGGAAAACAAAAATCATTAATATAATTATTATGAATTAATAATAAAACATAATGATTATTATTAGTTATATCCATTACATATATAATATTTTCATAAATACTGACAAATAAAGTTGATTTATTTCTCATTTGAATTGAATTAATACTTCCGTATAACTTTGTTTTTTTTATAACCTTTTTTTCATTTACATCTATTAAACTAACAAAACCATCTCCACTACCTTTTTAAAAAAATAAGAAAAAAAATATAGAACATAGAAATTATTATAACGATTTATTAAAATTGACATGCATAAAAAAAATTTTCAAGTTTAAGGAATACTACTTATGAAAAAGTTTATTATTCTTTTAAAGATATATTGTCATAATAATATTCATACATATAAATTTATATGTATTTTCTTTATATACTTATTTTCATTTTTTTTTTTTTTTTTTTTAACCTGTTAAAATTGTACTGTCATCTATAATTTTTATTACATTTATCCCATTACTAAATAGATAATTTTCAGGAATAATTTTTTCTAATACTTTTGTTTTTATATTTACTATTAACACATCACCTATAACAAGTTTGTTATTATTTATCATTTTGTTTTTTTTTTAAATAATTAATACATGCATATATTAATAATTATAAATATAACCTGTAGTAGTTCCTAAATAAGCATATTCATCATTTTCTTTTAATTCTAAGCATATAAATTGTCTTTTATAAATAGATGTATTTACTTCTTCTTCACTCATTAATTTTTTAGAGAAATCATAATAGCATATCTTGATACTGTTTAGTTTTGCTTTAAAAAAAAATAAAAAGGATAATGTTAATTTATTTTATTTTAAAAAAAAAAAAAAAAATTTAATGATTTATTTTTTTTTTTTTTTTTTTTTTTTAAACTTACCTATGATAAAATTATTTGATTTATGAAAAAATGAAATATTGGTATAAGAATAATCAGATAATGACTTATAAATAAATTTTTGATTTTCTATTTGAGTTAAAATTAAATATTTATCATCATCTCCACCTGATGATAACAAATATTTTCCATCTCTACTTATTGAAATATCTGATGTTTTGAATTTATGTAAAGATAAAATAATTGGTTTTATTTTATTTTCAAAATCGAAAATATAAATATTTGATAATAATTTACTCTCTTTGCAGCAGCAAATATATTTATTACTTTTATCAACATATAATTTACTTATTTTATTTTCATCACTTTTAAATATAGTTCTGTTGTTATTCAAAATATCTTCTTTTATTATATTAGTACCGATAGCATAAATCATAAAAAAGTTGTATCTCAACTCTTCTTTTTTTAGCTCATAATAATTATGATTTATATCAATATTTTTTAAATTATAAACAGCTTTTAATTTTTTCTTTTTCTCATTTTCTAAAAATTCTTCTTCTTCTATGCATCTTAATTTTTCTCTATAACTTTTCTCATCTATTTTTTTTTCCTTCCTAATTAGAATTAAATTATTAGATATATTTCCATTAAAACCAATATAAGACTCCACGAATAATTCTTTCTCCATTAGTGAAAAAATTTTATTTTTATTATAATTATTAATAAAAAAAAAAAAAAAAAAAAAAAAGAAATTATTGAAAAAAAGAAATTCTTTCTATATGCATTTTAAAAAAATAATGCACACTTATATTTTATCAAAATGTATGCACAAATTATATTTAGGAAAATATTAAAACTTTTATATTTAAGAATATATAATTATGTATTTTAAAAAATTATGTGAATTATAATAACATTCAATTTATAAATTTTAACATAAATTTGAGAAATAAATTCAAAATAAAAAATTAATGTATTATAATTATTTATATAGTATCGTTTTTCAATGTAAAACTTAAATTTCTATTAATGTATCTTAATATATATATATATATTAATTTTTCTTATGAAAGTAAATAAAAAAATAAAATATTTTAATATATATTATCTAAGTTATTAAGAAATAATAATTTAAAATAATTATGACGAAACATAATAGTATCTATATATATATACTAATTTCTTTTTAATGTAATGGAATAAATTGAATAACTATATACTTTTTTTTATCTTATTAATCTAATAAAATCTTTATTAAAAACCTTAAAACATATAATTTTAACATAAATTTATAAAATATGTATTATTTTTGTTAATCTATATGTTATTTTATTTATTTTAATTTTTATTTTTTTTAATTTCTAAAGTAATTTTTTTATTTAAATTTATTCTAACATTAGGTATTTTGTGTGCAATAAAAAAAAATTATATATGAAAATAGCTAAAAAAAAAGAACACAATTTGAGGAAAATTAAATGATAAGATATTATTATACTAGTGCAAATAATAAATAAAAATAGCTAAAATTTAATATTCTTTAAGAATTCTAATAAGAATGATTATAAAAAAAAAAAAATAAAATAAAAAAAAAAAAGAAATAACTAATAAGTGATACATAATAATAAAGAACAATATATAATAAGACTGAGAAAATAATAGATGTATAATAGTAATATTAAAGAAGTAATAAATGAAGATTAATAATAATAAGTAAATAGATGATTTTTTTTTTTTTTTTTTTTTATTTAATTAAAGTTTCATACTCATTATAAGTTTCTTTTTAACAATTTTCTATTTTTTTTTTTTTTTAATTAAAGAAAATGAGAAATGAGATTACAAAAAATTTATTTACTTATGATGCTAAATTTTTTAAAAGTATTTTTAATAAGTATATGAAAGATGAAGACTATAGTAAAGAATTGAAAATAATACAAAATTCTAGAAATTTAATGGAAGAAATAATTAGTAAAGAAAATGGACTAAATTTTTATTTAGATGAAAATTACGATGAAAAGTTTTTAGAAAAATGTAAATTGCCGTTTTTTAAAAAAATATTAAAATATATAGATGATAGTGATAAAAAGAGTGAAACATCAAAAAATAAATCTATAGAAAATGAAAGTGTCGATAATGAAAATATAGTAAATAATGAGCTTACTTATATTAATAATAAAAAAAAAAAGAATTATCATTATTTTACATTTAATAAAAAAATTAATGTAATAAATAGTTATAGAATATATTACTATTATTCAAATATTATTCAATCATTACCTTCTCTCACATATATATCTGTATTTAGAATATATTTAAAAAATTATCCATTAAATATATTTTTGTCTTGTATTTACTTTTATACATTTATAACATATGTATGCGATAGAGATAATGTAATAGGTACCTTTTTTTTTTTTTTTTTTTTTTTTTTTTTTATTATTACTGACTCTTTATATTTTAATTATTACAAATTTATTTTTGCTTGCAGAATTTTTTGAGTCAATAATTTTTTCCTTAATGGTTACAACTGGATTTTTAATATTAACCATAGTGCACTATCTAAAAGAAAACCGACTAAGCTCAATAACATCAAAAATAAATGATTTTAAAGAAAGCTGTATGTGTAGGACTTTTATTAAAAATAATACAAAAAAGGAAACCAAATTAAATAAATACGAAAGTAAGAAAACTCTTGAACTAAAAAAATACTCGAAATATTTTTTTTTAAAAAGTTTTTTAAATAGAATTAATACAGAACTATTTGATTATGAATTTTTTAAAAACTTCAATAGTTTTAATTATATACAAGAAAATTATAAAGGATACGATCCTTTTTCGTATTCTTCAAAAAACTCTAATAGTGAGTTAGAAGTGGTAAACAAATATGATAATATAACAATAAAAGGAGAATTAGAATCAAAAAAAAAAGAAAAAAAGGAAGAAAAAGTTGAAAAAGATGAAAAAGTTGAAAAAGTTGAAAAAGAAGAGAAAGATGAAAAAGAAGAAAAAGTTGAAAAAGAAAAGAAAGATGAAAAAGAAGAAAAAGTTGAAAAAGAAGAGAAAGAGGAAAAAGAAGAGAAAAAGGAAAAAGAAAAATATAAACATTTTTCATTTATAGAAAAACTTAATATAGAAGAAATATTTTCAGATAAAGAGGAAAATGTAGATGTAGAAATAGAAATATCAGATAAAGAAAAAAAAGAAGATAAGAATAAAAGTGATTCCATTAAAGAAAAAGAAATTAATATAATTAAAAAAATAAATTTAGGTGAAAATGTAGAATCTGTTAGATGTGAAAATAGAGAAAATATAAATTTTAAAGATATCACAGTTATAAATGAAAGAGAAGAAAAAAAAAAAAATTTAATGAATTATATATTTTTTGAAAATAATTTTTATTCTATTAATGGAAAAAATATTTTAGTTGGTGATATTATATATTTATTTAAAGGTGATATTGTACCAGCAGATGGGATACTTCTAAAAAGCAATAACATGATTGTAGATGAATCAAGAATTTTAAAATCACTCGAAAAAAAAAAAAAAATTAGCTTAGATGAATTTATATATGAGATAGAAAAGTCTAAAAAAAAAAAGATAAGTGTTGGTGAATTGAAAAAGAAAAAATTGAATTATTTTGAAATACTTAATTTAAAAGTGAAAATGAAATTTAAAAAAATGAGTGAAGAAAATTTAAAAAAAAATAATGAAATAAAAAAATTAAAAGAAAATAAAATACAAATTATGAATAAAAAAGAATATGAGAAAGAAGAAAATGAAGTGTCAATTGAAAAAGACTGTGAATATGTTTCTAAATATAAAAAAGAAAGATCTAATAAAACAAAAAATAAAATATTTTTGAATGAAGAAATTAATGAATACAGTAAAAGTATAATAGAAAAAAATAAGGATAAAATTAGTGTATATTCTGATGATTTTAAAAAATATGATTATTCTCCATTATTATTATCAGGTTCAATAGTTAAAAATGGAATGGGTATTATGATAGCTACATGCGTTAGTAAAAATAAACAAATGTTTCATAATTCTTTTAAAAAAATTGAAGAAAATACTATATTAGAAGAGTTAATAAATAATTATTCAAAGAATATTGTAATTTTAATTATATTTTGTTGTTCTTTATGTATTCTTTTTATTTTAATACATTTTTTAATTAATCTAGTTGAAAATGATATGCAGACATTTGCATATAATTTACTTATGTTTTTATTAAATTCTATAATATTAGAAATCTTTAAGTACCTATTATTATCTATTGATCAAATGCCATTATTATTACAAAATTGTTTGGCATTAAATTCAAATCAAATTATAAAAGAAAATTTTATAATAAAAAAAAAAAATACTTTTGAAGATATTATTTTTACTAACACCATATTTATTGATATAGATAGATATATAAAATATAAATGCATTTTTTTTTTTTATAACTGTGAATTTTCCTTTTCTTTTGATAACATTTTAATCAAACATAAAATAAAAACGGAGAATAATGTTATACTATTTGATAAAATCAATAATAAAGATATTAAAAATAACCTGTTTTTTGTTTTATTAATTCAAAATATACTAGCAACTAGTAACTTATATCAATATAATGAACATTTCTTAGATGTTGATTTTTCCTTATTAAAATTTGTTAAATGTCTAGAAATAAATTTTGAAGATTATTTTATTGAAAAGAAAGACATTTTTCACATAATATCTAATAATCAAGATTACGTTATTTCATATATTTTTTCTGATGGTTTATTTTTAGATGACTGGAATACATTAGAAAAAGAAAAATGTAATAAAAAAATGAATAGTATAATGACAGAAAAAAAAAAGGAAAAAAATGAAAAAATAAATAAAGAAAATAAATTAAATACTTTAAGAATATTTATTAAAGGATATGCAAGTTTCATTTTACCCAAATGTATCCAATATATTAATGGAAACATTTTGTGCAAGTATATTTCATAACAAAAAAAAAAAAAAAAAAAATTATACTATTATAATTTAAATTTTATTATTTAATTTTCTTATTTTATTTATTTGTTTATTAATTTTTATTATAGTTTACTCTGTTTTACATCATTTATAATTTCTTTTTTAATTCAGAGATATAAAAAAGTTGAGTGAAAAAGTTGATAAAATTGAAAAACAAGAACAAAATGTACTTCTTTGTTTTGCATATAAAGATATAATTCTAAGTGAGAAAGAGAAAGACAATTTGCTCCTAAAAGAATATGATAATGATGAAAGTTTTAACAACATAAATATTTATAAAAACATAAATGATACCTTCTTAAAACATTTACAATTAAAAGATTTAACTTGTATATCAATTTTAGTTTTAGAAAAGACATTAAATAAACATTTTTTCTATGATTATAAAATATTAGAAGAAAATGATTTAACTGTAAAATTTTTTACAAAAGAAAATTCTACTCAAATAAATAATATATTTTATAACTTTCCCAAATTTTTTCAAAATTTAAAATTGTATGATTCGAAAAAAATAGAACAAATAAATAGATTCAATTATTACGACAATGCAAATAGTATAAGAAAAAAAGAAAAAAATCATTTAGAAGATATATATACAGAAAAATATAAGAGTAACAATGTTAATAATTTTATCGATTATGATAACTTATATTCTTATAAAATAAATAATGAAAATGAAAATTTTGTCTTTAAAAAATATAAAAGTGAAATATTAAATATAAAAAAATATAATAGTGATACATTAAATGTAAGTAATGAAAATGTATTAGAAAATATAACAAAAATGAGTATAACACATGATTTTGTTTTAAATAATAATTTTTTCTACAACTGTTCTTATAAAGAATTAGTACTATTATTGTCAACATCTAGAATTTATGGTAAAAATGCTTTGGTAACTAATCAGAGTGATTTAGTTCATGATGGAATTTGTAATATAACAGTGTGTGACAATAGAAGTAAAGATATAAATAAAGAGAATTGTGATATAATAATTTTAAATAAAAGTTTGTATGATTATATAAAATTAAAAAGTTTCTCTAATTGTATCCTAACAAATATTAGATTATACATAGATTACAATATAATATTTTATACTGTTTTTGTTCTTTTTTCAATTATATCTACTTTAGTTAATGGATCAGAATTTTTAAGCACTATTCAAATACTATATATTTATTTAATTAAAAATGTCATTTTTCATTATATATCTTGTTATAGAAAATCTTCTTATAGCACTGGAATAAAATTCAAAAACTCTTATAATTTTTTCAAAGAAGTAGATATGAATAATATTATATCATCAATTTTATCAAAAATCATAATTCTTCTAATTGTTTTTTTATTTGGTCATCTTTTCATTCCAGAATCAAAGTGGAATTTTGTACAAAATGATATAAGAGAACATTTCGAGTTTTCAGAATTTTCTTTTTTAAAAGATAAACAACATTCCAATTCTTATTATACTATTAGATCATGTATTCGTTTTAAAAAAAATTTAGAAAATTTAAAAATTCAAAATAACATTGATGTTAAAAATGATTATAGAACAATGAATGAATGGGAATATCATATTAGTCCTAATAGGCATAGCACTATTATGTTTAATATTTTTTTTCTTTTCTTCTTTTATTCTTATATATATATTTATGTAAGGACATTTTTTGAAGAAATTAAAATTTACTGGAGTAAATATAAGAATAGTGAATATAAATATTTTTATCTCTTAAAAAATAAAGAAAAAAAAATTCTTTCGACAGATATAAACCAATTAATAAAAGAATTAGAAATAAATAAATTGGGATTAGAACAAAGAAGAGATTTAAATAACATAAAAGATAAAATTCAGGAAAAAAATGATTATAGTTATTCTATTAATATGAAAAATGCTAAGAAGAAAACTAAAAATGACTATCATATATTAAATAAAAAGAGTCGTGTTAATAAAAGAGAAAGGGAAGCAAAAAAAAAAAAGGTCAATAAAAAATATAATTTTATTAATACAGAAAAAAACAAGATGTTAATTGATTGCATCAAGGAAAATTATAAAATGTTCTTAATTTTTCTACTTATTTTATTAATACATATTATTTTAATTCAATTTGGTTCCTTTTTTTTTCATTTTCATGTAAAAGGGTTAACCATACTTCAATGGCTTATTTGTTTTTTATGTTGTCTTTTGGACGTTTTACTTTATATAACTATATCTAGACTTTATCTTTTTAAATTCTCTACTAATTCCTTTAAATTTTTTGGATATTTATATGAACCCAGGGAAAAAAATGTGTATGATTTATTATTCGTTGTTTCATTAAAAATATAAGAAACATATATATAAAAATAGATAAAAATAAAATAATAAAATCAAATTTAGAAAAACAAAATTTATTTTAAAAAGATATTTATATACATTTTTTTTTTTTTTTTTTTTTTTTTTTTAGGTTTGATACTATGAATGATTATAAAAAAAGCTATATGTCTCAAAGATATAAATATAACCTCAAATTGTAATTTTCTATTATTTTTTTTGCATATTGGTTTATATTATTTAAAATATTAGAAGAAACTATTATTTCTATTTATTTTATTTTTTTTTTTTTTAATTTTGTATAGAACACGTAAAAGTTGGGTTTAAAGAGAAAAATTACTTCAGAAAGTCTGCATTAAATGACAAATTTTTTTATTTGTAAGTAGACTTTCTTTTTATATAAATTTATTTAATAAAAAAAAAAAAAAAAAAAGTTAAAGATGAAATTAAAAATGTAAATTTTTCAAAAGTTTTATTTCATTTAATTTTTTGCTTTATAGTTGTATATATTCATTTAAGACTTATTAAACTTTATTAACAATATATTTTTATATAAGTATTTATACGTTTAAAGACTACACAAAAACATATAACAAATATGAAAAAAAAAAATAAAAATAATATATAAATAAAATAAGAATTCATTAAATTTAAAAAGTATTAATTTTTATTAACCAAAAAAAAACATATTTATAGCTATTTCTTTTATTTTATAAAAAATTAAATATAATATTAAAAAAATTATTATGTAAAGTAGACAAAATAAAATATAGATTGATCATATAAAACAATAACTTTAAAAAAAAAATAAAAAATAAAACTGCATAAATATATATATAAATGAATAAATGACATACAAAACAACAAAAGGAAATAACAATAAAATTGTATGTTTTAATCTCTCAATGAATTTATAGGCTTATTTTTTTTTACTGACGTTATAAATTTTTGAATTTCTATATTATATAAGTTTACATAATTATTATAATTGTTATATGATTTTCTTCCCATACAATTTAAAGATACATTGTTTTTATTTTTTTGTGATAACTTATTTCTTAAATATTCATTACCGCTTTCTTCAAATTCTTTGAGTATCCATACATGATCATCATTCGAGTATTTAATTTTCTTTTTTACATTTTCTTCTTCATCCCTATTTTTTTTCATAAAACTTAACGATGTCACAAATTTTGAAAATTTTATGTTTTCCTTTTTTTTTCCGAAATCTAAATTTTTATTATCATCCATATTAATTTATTTACTAGTTTAATCAATTATTTATTTTACTTATATATTTAATTGTTTGATTATACCTAATTGTTTTTTTCATTTATTTTGTTTTTTAAATTTTTTCGTAATAATATTAATGAATGTAAATTTTCATTTTTTTTTTTTTTTTTTTTTTTTTTTAAGTATTTAATATAAATTTTAAATTAAAAAAAGAAAAAAAAAAAATTAATATTTTTTTAAATATATATCTTAATAATATATTACATTTGAATTATATATTTGTTTATATTAAAATAATATTACTAATATAATTTTTATATTAATTTTTTTTTTATTTTTTACACAAACATTTTAAGATTAATATATATTTGAAAGGTGTTATTTTGGTCAATTTTGTACAAAAAAAAAATAAAAACAAAATATAGGTCTATGGATAAAAAAAATTTTTTTTCAATGATAATATTAAAGAATAAATAAAATTTTTATTTGAAAAATTTGTATTTACAAAAAAAATTATGAATTTTTACTGTTATTTTTAAAATGTATAAATTAAGGTCTTTAAATATTTATATGTGTAGAAATTTTTTTTTTAAAGTTTTTGAGTATATCTAAAAAGTATATACATATGGATATATAAATATAGTTATTTCTATTATATACAATTTTTAGTTATCATTTATTTTTTTCTAAATGATGTTTTTTTGAAAAGCCTTATTCATATTATCTAAAAGAAGAGATCTTGGGTCAATAATTTCTTTTTTTTTTCCTATATCTTTACTTTTTGGAATGTCATTTTTTTGTAATATTTCCTTTTGTATTTCCAAATCATCGTCCATATTTTTTTGTAAAATAGTAAGTTTTTTTTTCCTGATAAAAAAAAAAAACAAAACAAAAAAAATAAATAAATAAATTTTCATCTTTGAAAAAATTATGTATATGATTTATTTTAAAAACCTTTTTTTAAAACTTTTTTGTTTATTTAAAGTATCTATCAATGAACTTCTGGAATTCTTAAAAGAATATTCAAACCTTTGATTACTATAATCCTACAGAAAGATTTAAAAAAAAAAAAATATTATTATATTAATAAAATATCATCAATATGGTCGAAATATATGTTAGACTTACCAGTGGATTAAATTCATCAACTAATATTAAAAAATTAAATATTTCTTTTAATTTTGTTTCTGAAATGTTTTTTGGGGTTTCTATTTTTAGTAAACTTTCTTCAATAGAAAGAGAATAAGTTTCCTGTGTTGATAGACCCTTTAATATACAAAGCATTTAAAATTTATTCATAATTAAAATATAATTTCAAATTTTATATAAAAGAGAATTATAACAAATATAAGTGAAATATAAATATAACACTAATGTAAGGAATACATCTATATGTATATATAAATATATATAATTATTTAAGAAATAAAGTAAAAATAAATTTACATGTAAGCATAAAGCTATTGATTTTTCATCTTTAATCATAGGAACTCCTACCCACAAGAATCGAACTTCTTTTTCACTAATTAATAAGATTAGAAAAAAAAATTATAAGATTAGTTCTTTCATTTATTTCTTTGTTTTATAACTTTTTTTTTTTTTTTTTTTTTTTTTTTATTTACTGTATTTTTAAATCAATAGGATTTATATTTGATCTTAGTATTAAAACTTGATCCTAAAAATTATATTTATAAATAGTTTATTATTATTATATCTATTTTTATTATATATATATATATATTGAACTTTATTTCTTATTTTAAATTTTTATAATATTTTTACCTTTTCATATAATTCTTTGGATAATGAGCACAATGAAATTAAATTTGTTTTATAAAATGATATGCTACTTAAGAATATTGGTATTCCATAGATCTAAAAAGAGAAAAAGGAAAAATAAAATTTTTATAAAAGCATAGTATGAAAAATATATGTAGGAGGAAGATGAAATCACAAAATATGTTTAAAATACGTGAAGTACTATATATACATATATAAAGATATATTTAAAAATTTTAAAATAAGATACACATTTAAAAAATTAAGTAATTAATGTAAAATTTAACTAAATGTTGTGATATTCCATCCTTTAAAGCTTTCGCTCTTATATCAAATTCAATTGAAAATTTATTTAAACCAATATAAGACGAATGACTTAACTCTGTTATTAGTGGTATTCCTTCACATTTAAATAATAACTGAGAATGTATATATATATTTATTTTTTTTAAATTAATAATTTTAATATTTTATTTATTATTATTATTTTTTTTTTTTTATTAATATACTTCATTTTTTAAATTTAATGTAAAAGATACAAGGAATTTTATAGATAATATTTCTTTTGATATTTGTAAAATATTAATTTTATTTAATTTAATATTTTTAAAGAAAAAATTAGAATACTTATCTAAATCATTTTTGATTTGATCTATTTTGTTTATAGCACTTATTTTATTGTTCTCAACTACAAAAAAAAAAATAAAATAAAATAAAAAAAAATAAAATAAATAGGTAGATTTTACATTTTATAGTAATATGATACAATCATATATAATGAATTTTCATTAGAATAATAAATGCTTACTATTAAAAAAATAGAATTCACATAAGTAAGTGTAAAATGTATCTCCTATTAATTTCAATTCAGAAATTTTGTTTTCCCACATATAAATATTGCATGATAGTATTATAATTTTATTACACTCTTTTATTTTTACAATGTCTAACAAAAAGGAAAAAATAAAAGTTATAGATTCATATAAATTTATTTATACATATATTTAAAATAATATATTAAATATTATAATTTATAATGGAATTTAATAAAAAAATATATATATATATTAAAAATTAATTATATATATTAATACTAGATATGATACACACTTTCTGCACTTTTGAAAAATGCTAATAAGGGATCAACAGTAATTTCTTTGTTATTCATTTCATCATTATTATTAAATTGAAAATAATAAGAAATTTTCTCTATAGCTTTTTTCACATTTTCATAATCAAACAAATCAGAAAAATTTAAAATGTCTAGATAGTCTATTAAATCTAGATGAAAAAAAAAAAAAAAAATTAAAATAGAAGTAAAAAAAATTACAAAAAAAAAAAAAAACATTACAAAGTTAGATATTGATGATAAATGAAATTTTTACATTGTTCATTATGTTTATTTCTACATTTAGTATATATATATATATGTATGCATATTTTATCCTTTATTTTATTTTATTTTATTTTTATTTCTCTTATACTTATACAAACTAGCCAAAAATTTATATTCCTAGATTTACTATTATTTATTATATCTTGCAAAGAATATGACCAATATTTAAATAAGTATTTTTTTTCTTTAGAATTGAAAATGCTAAATCTGGTATCACATACATATAAAATTTTCATTTGTAAAATAATATGTTTTATTCTATTTTAAATTTGAAAAAAAAAAAAAATATAATTTTTAATTTTGTAAAATATAGATCAAAAGAGAGAGCTATCCATTTATTATTAAAGACGCAACACATAAACATAAATAATATTTTCAAATGTTAAAAAAAGAGGAAAAAACTTATTTTTATATTTATCGCTTAAAAAATATTGTAATATGAATAAATACTATAATAAAAAAAAAAAAAAAAAAAAAAAAAAAAAAAAAAGGTATCTACATAAAAAATAAAGTTATTTTCTTTTTTAATTTTCATTATATAAATTAACGTTACATTAGATGGTCATATTATATATTTCATCTAAATTAATTTTTTTTATTTGATCTTTAAAATAATGATACACATTTTTGCCTAAGGAATTAAAAAAGGGAAATTAAAATAAAATTATAAATATTAATTTCCAAAATTTTATTTATATTAAATATTCTATTTCAACATTAGCGTCAAATTAAAAATGAAAAGATTGATGTATATAATATGAAAAAGGTTATCACATGTATATATATGAAATTTTTTAATACAATTAAATCTGCTTATTCTACATAAATGTATAAACGAATAATAAAAAAAAAAAAAAAGGAAAATATAAAAAAATTTTCTTTTTACTTATTATTATTATTATTATTACTTATTTGTGTTACTTCTTCTTTTTTAACAAAATCATCTAAATCATTTAAGGAAATTTTTGATATAAATTCTACTTCATTTAACTGAGGTGTAGTTTGAAAATCTGGGTGAATGAAAGTAATCTAAGTAGAAAAAAAAAAAAAAAAAAAAAAAAAAAAAATCATTACTAATAAAAATAATAAAGGAAATTAAAGAATAAAAATTAAATGATAAAACTGAAATTCATTAAAAAAATTCCTAAAAATATATCATATGAATTTACTATATCTTAATATATTACATAACATCTGACATATGCTTTTATATATTCCGTTTCACATTTTATTAATCCTAAATCAAATAACTGCTCAGGTTTTTTTACTATACCACTTTCTTCATACAATTCCTTTACTGCGTTTTGTAAAAAATTTTCGTTTTCTGATAATACACCACCAAATCCAATAGAATAATAAGAAGGACAGTAATCTTTTATTTTAGATCTTTTATGTATATAGATAAGAATATTTTGTTCATTTTTTGAAAGAACTAAAATTGATGTTGATCTATGCCATAAATTATTTTTTCTCATAACTTTTCTAGTTTGTAATTCTTGAAACTCATTTTTATCATTTACTATAATAACCAACTCACTTTTATTATCTTCAAAGTTATAATTTATATAATCTTTCATAATTTTTGTTAGAAAATAAAAGGAAAAGAGATATTTAAATTTTTACTACTATTTCATAATCTTATATGAATTTTATTCATATGTTTTTATTTTCAGAAAAATATTTTCCAAAATTTTATTTTGTATAGAAAAAAAAAAAAAAATGTGATAATTGAAAAATAATAAATAATTTTATTGTAAAAATTAATAAAAGTGTAATGATGAAAGATAATTAATAGTGAAGAGATAAAGAATAATAGAAGAAATGTGAAAATAAAAATAAAAAAAAAAATTAAAAAGATTTCAATGTTTTTTATAAAATACGGATAATTTCGTAACATAAAGTGTAATTAAAGTAAAAAGATTTGCATATATTATTAAGTTTCAAAATATTAATTAATAAAAAAAAAAAAAAAAAAATATAAAAAAAAAAAAATAATAAATATAAATGTAGCATGCATATGTTCTCGCTTACATAAGTATATTCATATATTTTTTTTTTTAAAAGAGAAAAAAATTATTTATAACAATCTTTGTAAAAATTACATAAAATTAAAGTAAATAATTATAGATATGAAATATGTACCTATATACATTTATTTTCTTATTTTTATTTATTATTATTTTTTTTTTTTTTTTTCACAAGTATTAATAACCTTATCTTTAGTTCCAGCCAAGCTTTTAGGATCTACTTTTGTGCCAATTATAGACATATTTTTTGATTTTCCATCAGGAATTTTAATTAAATGAAGTTGATTGTTACACACTTGGTCAACTATAAAATAGCCTCTCCTTTCAAACTGTAACTTATCTGAAACTTTTAGAGAAGTTATAGCAGGATCAGCATATACCGTTGTTTCAAATTTACTATTATAGTTAATAAAATTTTTCCAATCATTTTTATCATCACTTTCAAATTTATCAACTGTTATTAAATGATCGTATTCATATAAAGTGCATGTAATTAATTTTTCAATAATATAAGGTAGCCAATGAATTTTCTTTTTTGTAGTTTTAAAATCACCTTGAAAATTAGAAGTAGCTATTATTTCTTTTATATTTTCTTCATTTTTAATAATATTAGTAATAATAACATTACCTAATTTTATTAAAGTAATTTCTTCTTTTTCGCATAATGTTGTTGCATCTTCTAGTTCAATCAAAAACTTGTTAGTATAATACATTTTGCATGTACCTAATGATTTATTTTTCATATGTAAGTCTCTTTGTTTTTCAATTATATCACTTTTCAAATCACTTAATGTTAATAAAACAGCTTTCTTTTTATCAACAGCAGCATATCTAGGTACAATTGGATCTATTATTTGTTTATTAATAGACCACAGTTTATCCCATTGCATTAAATTTCCTGATTTAGATGGGCCTTGTTCTAAAATAAACTGAAATAATGCTTCTTTAGTTAACCCTCTTCTTAATATACCTTTTATGGTAGGCATACGAGGATCCAACCAACTATCAACAACATTATTTTCAACAAACCATTTTAATTTTCTTTTAGACATAACCGTTCTAACAAATGATATTCTACTAAATTCATAAATAGACACTTTTCTTAGTTGCAAAGTAGATATAACCCAATTATATTGTTCAATTCTGTCACTGTATTCGTTCGTTCTTAAAGCATGTGTTACACCTTCTATAGAATCTATTATTGGACATGCAAAATCATAGGTTGGATAACATTTATATTTAAAATGATGTTTATGATGTGGAACATCCACTACACATCTATATAAAACGGGATCTCTCATACACTTATTTTTACTTTGCATATTTATTTTTGCTCTTATACAATTTTTTTGACCAATTTCTGTTCCTTTTTTCATTTCTTCAAATAATTCTAAATTTTTCTCAATAGAATTTTCCCTATTTACAGATTCAATACCTTCTCCTCTTTGATTTCTCATATCTTCTACGTTTGTGTCATCTGCATATGCCTTATTCATTCTTATTAATTTTACACAGTAATCTTCTAATAAATCAAAATAATCAGATGTGTACGAAATTTTTTCATACTTTAAACCTAAATTTTGCAAATCTTCCATAATAGATTTTTCATATTTAATATCTTCTAGTATTGGATTAGTATCATCAAATCGTAAAAGCATTTTTCCATTATACATATTTGCATAATAACTATTTAAAAATGCTGCCTTTGCATGACCAATATGTAAATAACCTGATGGTTCAGGTGGAAATCTAGTTACTACTTTTCCTACTTCTGCATTTTCTAATTTTCCTGAATAAGAAGTAGATATATTTTTCTGTTTTATTCCTTGATTTCCATTATCTTTTGTTGTATCTGATATCTTCAATTCACTTTCTTCTTTTAAATGATTTCTTAATTCATTGTCTTCAAAATTCAGCAGGCAATTTATTAATTTAAACCATCTATTTATATTTTTGTACTGTTTAGAGTACTTTATAAAATAGCAACTATTTACGTTAAAATATTTATACATTTCATAAAATACATATAAATCAGACAAAGTTAAAAAATGAGATGATATAAATGTATTTAAATGCAAATGCCTATCAATATATTCACATATACTTACTATATCTTTTTGTAAATTTTTATATCTAAAAAAGTCAATCCATTCATCATATTGAGTTTGAACATATGCATTCAGAACTTTGTTTTTTTTATTTTCACATAAAATATAATATAAATTTGTCTTCAATATATGATCTAAATTTTTTGCAAATATTTTATCCCTACTTAATATATAATTTGTATCAGATGAATTGTCATTTAAAAATTCTACTTTTATTTCCTCTACTTTTTCATCATTTAAAAATTGTATCTTTTCTTCTATATTTTCAATATTCAACTTATGTTTTCTTATATTGTTTATATATATATTATAAACTGTTTTACATGCAAAAGGGTATTTTTTACCGTAATAAATATTTAATTTATTAAATTCTTTCATTTTAATATATTTATAAAAAAAATATGTAAATTCCTATTTATCATTTATTATATATATTTATGTGAAAAGAGTAAAGAGCAAGTCAAATTAATTTTGAGAATATGAAAGTTGTGTTTATTCTAATACTTTACTACATCGAAAGTTTTAATTTTATTGTAAAAATTTTAACATTATATTGGAAAACTTTAATAAATATATATGCATATATATTAATTGATAAAATTTACAAAATATTATTATTAAAAAAAAATGTTTCTTCACTTTAAGAAACCTTAAATATTTTTTAAATTTTAAAAGAAAATACGTACATTATAAAATAAATTTTTTTTTTTTTTTTTTTTTTTTTTTTTTTCAAAGTGTTATAAAAAATTTATAAAGAATAATGAACAATTTTTTTTTTATATATTATTTTTAAGTGTTAAATTGCTATATTTTTACTTTTTTTTATATTTGCATATTTTTTATATTTTTAAGAATAAATAAGATATATATATAAAAAAATGACATTCTTATTTAAAATAAAATGGAGTTTATCCTTTAAATTATTTTAAAATTCTAATAAATAAAAAATAATATTCTTTTCTACATGAAAAATAATTATATTCGTTAAAATAAGAAAGATGTTCAATATTTTGTCCATTTAACTTTTAAATTTTTTTTACTTTTTTTTTAAAATACGAATTTTAAAAAAAAAAAATTCCTTATCTTTTTTCATTTTTAAATTCATATTTATATAATGTTATAGTATGCCATCGTTAATAATATATTCTATATATTAACATTTTTAAGGATATTCCTTTAATAAAGAAAGTAATATTTTAATTAAATATTTCATTATTATAGCATTATGCTTATAAATAAAAAAAAAGAAATGTCTTTTGAAGATAAAGAATAATGAAACCCGTTTAAGTATTTGTATAATAATAATTTTTTTTTTATTAATATACCACAATTAATTTTTTTGGAATATTTATTCTTAAATAAAAATGAAAATGTAGTCTCTAAAGATAAAAAAGGGATTGCATAAATACATATTATTAAATTTTTATAAATTAAAAAAAAAAAAAAAAAGTGATATATATATATATATATATATATATATATATATATATATATATATATTTTGGTCATAATTAAATATATAAAATTATTTTGTTATTTATTTTTATAATAATAATTATTTTAGCTTAATAATAAAAATAATATGAATACATATAAGTACTTATTTTATATTTTATTTTAATAGTAAATTTAATTTATGAAAATTTTCTGGATAAAATTTTAAAATGGAAATTTCATTTAATATTGGATAATAATATAAATGATATTGTAACCAAAATAAAAATATAATAAAGTAAAAAATTAAATGATAATTTTTTAAAAAAAATTTTAAAGAGGAAATTTTAAATTCCTTCAAAAATATTTAATTTTATTTATGTATAAAAAAACCAGAGTATTAATATTTTTCGTATAAAATTAAAAAAAAATAAGTTATATATATTTAAATGAATGATAAGTCTTATGCAAAAATATAAGAAAAATAAATTTTTCTAATATATAAAAAAAAAAAAAAAAAAAAATGAAAATTTTCCTCTTAAAATTTTATAGTTGTCCATAAAATAATAATTTCATTCTATTAGCATTTATATGTCAGTATTAAAACATAAAAAAAAATTTAAAGTATATTATGAACATATTTATTAAATGTGAAATTTATAAATAAATTATTTATTATATGAACACAAATAATTCTTATATATAATTAAAAAATAATTATATATAAAAAGAAGAAGCTTGAAGTTTTAAAAGTGTAACTTATCTTATTTTTTACATTCATTTAATATATATGTGAAAAATTCAACAATTCGAAAATAAAAATAAAATATATCATAAATTTTATAAATATTTATTATAATTAAAAATATTGTATCTAAATAAATTTATTATTATTTTTTTTTTTTTTTATATATTAATAATGATTAATTATATATTTTATTGTTTCATATTATTTTGTAATATTTTTTTATGTTAGTAATATGTGCAATAAAAAATGAATAAAAATATGTCAAAGTACATTAATTAAAATATGATATATATGAAAAAAAAATATAAAAAATAAGAAAAAAAAAAAAAAGAAAAGAAAAAAGAAATTAAAAAAAAAAAAAAAAAAAAAAAAAAAAATTAATTTAATTTAAATTTTTATATAATTTTAATTGTTTTTGTTTTAAAATTTCCAACTATTATTTTTTCATTAAAATTTTTTGATTTATAAAAATTTGTCCATTTTTATTTATTTAATCTTATTAGAATTAATTTTTTTTTTTTTTTTTTTGTTTAAAATTTCATTATATAAACTTGAAAAGTGAAATATTTAAATTTAGTTTTCACAATTTTTTCCATTATTATTTTTCTTTTTTTTTTTTTTTCATAAACTCTTTTTTTTAATTAATTTCATTTGAAATAAACAAATAAATTTGAAGAAAATAATTTTTAATTTTTCAAAAAATGCACTTTTATGGATGTAAAATTAAAATAGGAATTTTTATGAACTTATTTTAAGGCTTTTTAATTTATTACAATATATTTTATATAAAATCATGAATTGCTGTTTTTTCAATGAAATATGAGTGAACTTTATTTAGGTGTATCAAGAAAATTATTTTGCAATGTTGATAAATTATATTTTGATAATTTAAAAAATTTAGACGAACGTTTAAATTTGAATAATAATTTTAATGAAAATAAATATGAGCAATTTTCAAGTAAAAATTTTTTAAGGAATAATAGAAGATTTAAAACAGAGCCACCAAAAAATTTGATTGAAAATGAAAAGGAAAGCAATAAGTTTTATTCTTCCTTTTTTCGTAAGATATTTAGAAATATATCTCAAAATATGATATACAATGATAATAAAAATAATGAAGATGAAGTTAAAAAGGAAAATAACTTTTCATATCTTGTAGAAAAAAATAAAAAAATCATAAGTAAAGATAATATTATTTTTAAAAAATTGTCTGATGATGTTAATGGTTCAAAAAGTAAAAACAGTTTATTATATGAAAGTTCATCAAAAGAATATGATTTTACTGTAAAAAATTTACATAACCCAATACATAAAACAGTAGTATATCATAAAAAAAATAGAGAGATTGAAAAGAAAAAAATTATTGATGAAGAAGAAGAGAAACGTAACAATAAAAAAGAAGATGATGAAAACAAAGAGGATGATAAAAATATAAAATATGAAAAAGACTATGAAGAAGATGAAAATAAGAATGACAGTGAGAAAATGAAAAATGAGATAAGCAAAATAGACACAAATATAAATAAAAAAACTGATATAAAAAGTACAAGATTAGTAAATAGTGATATAATATCAGATGTTTTTTTAAAAAAAAATGTGAAAAGTTTAGTTGTTCATGATACTGGAGGAATAGATATAGAATTGATTGAAAATGAAAATCCTGAATTTTTATATCATACATATACTGGTAATAGGATATCAAATATATATTATGAATATGATGAGTCAATTAAAAGTAAAGAGGATTTTTATAATGACAAAAAAATTAATAGATTCAACTCATCATTTTCACATAAAGGAAATAATATAAAAAATTTATATAACTATGATTGTTATTTTAAAAAAGAATCTATGAAAAATAATGAAGAGAAATTAAGAAAAAAAAATTTTTTTAATTATAAATCAGAATGTTCTGTAGATAGTTATCATAGTAAAGCTTATGATGAGCAAAGCGTTATAAGAAAAAGTAATATGGAAGATAAAGTTACAAATTCTTCTAATGAATATTTTTATAATGAATATTACAATGATTTAAATGAAAATAAAAATAAACATACAAAAAAATCTTCATCAGAATGCAATAAGATATTTGATACATATTCATCTATTTCTAGCGTATCTTTAAATATATCTGAGAAAGAAAAAAATAAAAAATATTATTATGTTGGAGAGACCTTTAATAATGTAAGAAATGGATGGGGAATGCTCATATATAATGATAGAGTAATATTTGAAGGAGAATATAAAATGAATAATGCTATTGGATATTTTATAAAATATAATGAATACTCAACTGAATTTGGTTATAGAAGTCCCATAAGTATTAAATCAGTTATGATAATGAGTGATAGTGATAATTTTATTATACAAAATAAGTGTGAAAATCTAGATTCTTATAAAAATAGTGAAAATTCCGATAAAAATTTAAAGATATGTAACAGTAACATTAATAACGATAATGATATACTAAATGATAAAATAGAAAAAAGTGATACAAATTTTTGTGTATCAGAAAAATTTACCAATGTAAGTAATTCAACTTCTGTATCAGATAACAAATCCGTAGGAGCTTATTCATCTCTTTGTGATAAATCATACAATGAGAATTTAACAACAAACAACTTTATATATAACACCAAAAATAATAATTATTTAGATAAGAAAGTTACAGAAGGAAATAAAATCAAAAATTTAAGTATGTTTTCAAGTAACTTTAGGAGAAATAGTAAACATAAAACATCACCAGCTCATACTATAAATTATTTAAAACCTCCAGTTATGAATTTCATTAAAAATGATTTGTTATTAAACAAAAATTCTCTTTCGAAAAATGAAAAAACTTCTATAAGAAGAAAAAAAAAATGCAAAACTACTCATTTTTCAAGCCCAATGAATATTATTGTTACATCATTAGATACAGATGATGAAGAAAATGTTTCTGTAAAAGATGAAGAAGAAGATATACTAAATAGCAAATTACTTAAAAATGGTTATATTTGCCCATTAAATATATTGAGTAAACAAAAGAATGATAATGAAAAGTTAAATAAAAGTAGCTTACAGAATGATTCTATAAATTTTCCTTATGATAAAAGAGAAATGGAAGACATTAATAATGAAAATAAGAAAGAAGAATCTAATTTTATGAACTTAGATTCTCAAGAATTACATTTGAAAAGTAATATAAAAAAAAAAGATAATAAATTCTTTAATAATTATGAAGAACATAATTATAGTGATTTTATTATTGAAAGTAAGTTACAAAGTAACGCAGAGAAAAAGAATGAAAAAGATAATGAGAATTATAATAATAAAGAAGATAACATGGGTAATTTTGAAAGTATATTTCTTAAAAAAAAAAGTTCTAAATATCATGACAATTTAAAAAATATTGATGAGAACATAGAAGAGGATCAAAACAAATTAAATATAAAACTTAATGATGAATATAAAAATTTACTTCGTGAAAATATAAATAATGATAATTTCGTTATTAAAAATAATGAAATTACAACTTTTCAGAAGTTTATGGAAAATGAAGAGAATTATGTGAAGAATAATGAATGGAGAGAATATATGAATACAAAAGGAAATGGAATGACTATAAAAGAAATTTTAGAAGAAAAAAAAAAAAGAGATATTTCACTTAAACAGGAACATGAAAATAATCCAAGTCATATTAAAAGTAATGATAACAATAAGGATGAAAATATATTAAAGAAGGATGTTTTGGGACCAAGTATGAATAAAAAGTGGGATAATATATCCTATTATAAAAAAGAAGAGTTTAGTTTTTTTGATTATGATAAAGTATTACTTAGAAAAAAATTAAGAGGAGCAACTTTTCCAGAAACTCATGATGATAGGCAAAAAAATTGTTTTTTATTTATTGATGATTATTTAACTTCAAATGAAGATAAATTTAATATGATTAATGAAGATGTAAAATTAAGGGCTTCTGACTACAATAAATGGTCTGTTAATATGTTATATAATTTTTTAAAAATGATAGGTTTAAAAAAGGAAGCATATTTATTTAAGATAAATAAAATAAGAGGGTATCATATATTAAAGTTAACAGATAAAGAGTTAAAAAAGTTGAATATAAGTAATTCCTATGTTAGAAAATTTGTTTTATCTGTATTCCGATTTTTGGTGAATTCTTTAGATAATGCAGATCCTTTATCAATCAATTTTAATACTAGTAAAAAATTCTCTTTTAATAAAATCACAAATATATGCAGTATCGATATAACAATATTAAATAAAATAGGAGGAGGAAGTTATGCCCAAGTATTCAAAGCAAAATATAAAGGAATGTATGTTGCTTGTAAAATTTTTTTATATAACCCTAAGCAATTAAATGAAGAGACATACTGTGAAAGTTACATATCAACACCAAGATCTAGTCAGAAGTATGCTTTATCAAAAATTAATAAAAATTTGAATTTTGTTAATTATGAATTAGAAAAAAAGGCTACTCAAGATGAAGAGGTAGAAGAAGAAGAAGAAAACGAAGAAGAAAGAAAAAAAAAAAGTGAAGAAGAATTAATTAATAATTCTGATACCTTACAAAGGAATAAAAAAATTAAAAAAATGGCAAATTTAGAAATTTTTCGCTATTTTCCAACACCTGTGAAATATAGAAATTATGAAGCAAAAATTTTGTATTCTTTGCAGGGTTGCAGGTATGTTATAAAATTGATAGGAGTTTGCAGTTTAAAAGAAGGAGAAGAATCCTTAATATTACAATATTGTCCTGGTGGTAGTTTAGAAAAATATATATATAGAGATGAAAAAAAAAAGAATTCTTATATGAGATATTTATCAAGACCAAATATAGTTAAAATATTTCAACAAGTAGCAGAGGGAATGCATAATATTCATTCTAATCAATTTTTTCATAGAGATATAAAATTATCAAATATTTTACTAGATGAAAATCAAAATGCTGTTATATCCGATTTTGGTTTATCTACAAATTTTTCTCCAAATGATAGCCCAACTGCATATGCTATGTATGGAAATATTTTTTATGCAGCACCAGAGGTTTTAAAAGGAGAAGGATTTTTCAAAGAATCAGATGTTTGGTCTTTTGCTGTCAGTTTATGGGAAGCTTTAACGAAGAAAATTGCTTATGATGGATTATCTGCTTCGGAAGTTTTTTGTAAAATATCAGCTGGTGAGTTAGTACTACCTATTCCAAATGATTTACCTAGTGAATTATCAAATCTGCTAAAAAGTATGTTAGAATATGATTTTACTAAAAGACCTCTTTTTCATGTTATTTCAAAAAAATTAGAAGATATTAGAATTACAGCTGAAAAAAAATTACATTCAGATATTATTTCTTTCTTTGATGGATAAAAAAAATTAATATCCTTTTTTTTTTTATAATACATTTTATTATTTGGAAGTTTAGAAATATCATTTGTTTTTCACGTATCCAAGCATGAATATGCAAACATATATATATATATACAACACATATTACAAATTGATAGTACTGATAAGAATAAAATTTTTATTATTATTCTTTTTTTTATAAATTAAAATACAAAATTTTATAAATTTGAACATAATTTCTTTTATTTATATCTTATATGGAGAAAATTTAAAATAATTTTTTTTTTTTTTTTTCAAAGTAAATACATTCATTTTATTATCTTTCCAAAGGTAAAACTAAAATGTGTTTTCTTTGTCTCATAAAAATATTAAAATTATCCTTTTTGAAAAATTTGGAGGGTATTAATTTTTTTTTTTCTTTTTTTTTTTTTTTAATTTTATTTGAATGTTTTTATTATAAGATAATATTATATACATACAAATAATTAATTATTGTACAGTGAAATTTTATTCTTTATATAATATCTGCTTTTTTGCTATTATTGTTTATTCTATTATTATTTTTTTTAAATTTTAAATAAAAAGTTAATTTTTATTATTAATTATTTTTAATTATTATTATTATTTTTATCATTATATATGTATTTTTTTTTTTTTTTTTTTTTTTATTATTTGTTTCATAATATTTTTATTAAAATCTATAAATTAAGTGATATTACTATATAAAAAATAAAATTGTAAAAAAAGTATTTTGTGTAGATATTTATATTTTTTTTTTATATTTTTTTCATTTTAAATCTTTTCTTTTTTTTTTTTTTTTTAAATTAATAAATAATATATTTCAATAGTTATTTTTTTGTTGTTGATAATGTAAATTAAGAATTTTATTACTTTTTTATGCAAAGATTCTTATAAAACGAAATGTAAATTAACTTCTATATATATATATATATATATTTACTTTTTATTATGTATTATTAGTATTTACGAAGGATATAATTATTTACAAAAAATATCAAAGTTGTAACAAAATGTTATAATTAGAAACATATAATGTTATATTATTTCTTTAATTAATATTTTATGAAATATATTTGTTTTTTGACCATTTAATATTAATTTTAGTATCAATTGAAATGGTTCAATTAAATGAAGAAGAAGCAACTTATTTTTTAAATATAGCATTAAGAGAAGTAACAAAAAAAAAAAAAAAAAAAAAAGNAAAAAAAAAAAAAAAAAAAAAAAAAAGGAATAATAAAATAAAAATAAAAAATTAAATAAAATAACAAATTAATAAAGCACACACATAAGTGCAAAAAAATTATAAAAAAATATATATAATAATATGTTAAGTTTAAATTAAATATGTATATTTTTTTTTTTTTTTTTTTTTTCTGATTTTGTTAAGGCTGAGAAAAGTTTACATATAGAATTAAAAGAAATGCCTATATTTTGTCTAATAATAAATGAAGAAAAGAAAATTATATCTAGTTCATATAATCAAACAAATGAATCAAAAAATGGATGCAGACATTGTGAATTGATTGCTATTGATAAATATATTTATAATGAAAATTATGAACAGTTAAAAAACTTTAATTTTATTAAATGCTTTAATAATAAAGATAATTATATAGAAGATTCTTTATGCAATTATATGAATGAATCATATAATAATAAAAAAATAAAAGACATAAATTTATATTATAAATATCAAGAAAGAAATGAAAATGAAGTATTTGAAAAAAATATAAATGAGACGCATAATAAAAATAACAAAAACGAAAAATATAATGAAAATTATAAAGTTATTTTAAATTATGATGAAAAAAAAAATGAAATACAAGAAAAACTAAATAACCTTAAAAAATGTTGTATTATTGTAACTTGTGAACCATGCATTATGTGTGTTTATGCATTAAAGTTAATAGGTTAAAAAAAAAAAAAAAAAAAAAA